GTCAACCCAATTCATTTTGGTCTGTGCGCAGATTTTTGCCAATTTTTGATTTATTGTTTGGTTCATTCGCTCCACTTTTCCCTGGGACTGCGGATGATACACAGTTCCAAACGCATGTCTCAATCCCAACGCTTTCTCCACCGTCCGGAGGTCCTCGTTCTTAAAGTGGGACCCATTGTCTGACCGAATCCTGTTGGGAAACCCGTGTCGTGGTATATCCTGATTAATCAGAAACTTTATCACGGATACCCCATCCTCCTTCTTTGTGGGCCATGCTTCTGGCCACCCTGAGAATGCGTCCACACACATCAACACATATCTGAACCCTCTCACTGGAATCACCATGTCTGTATAATCTATAATGATTTCTTCCCCTAACCTGGTACACATTGGAAACTGCCCTTTCTCAGGCTTGACTGTGGGTCGCGAGTTATACAAGGTACAGGTAGCACAACTCTGTACATATCCCCCCACCATCTCTTTCATAAATGGATGCCACCAGCTTGTCAGATTCTCTAACATTTGTCTCACTCCTGCATGACCCACCCCGTGGGCTTCTGCCAAGATTGTCTGGCGAAGGCCTGGGGGAAGGGCTGGCTTCCCTTCCTTACTCTACCACAGCCCCTCCTTCTGCTAGTTTCAGGGCCTCGATAACTGCTATCACCTCGGCTCTCTGGGCTGACTGGGCTCCCCCCAGTCTGTCTGCCTTCAAGGTTACATAATCCTGGCCTTGTCTGGCCACCACTGCATACCCTGCCTGCAAACCTCCTGTGTCTGTTCTAAAACAACACCCATCTATGAACCAATCCTCTGTTTTCTCTATTTTTCCTGCCCCTAAGTCTGGTCTGACTTTCTCCTCCTTCTGAACTCGGTACTCACACTCGTGTGGTTCTCCCCCACTCATGTGGTCTGCCATGTTGATCCCTTCATGAGAAAAATTCAGATTAGGTGCCTCTAGTATTTTACTAAGTCTCTGTTGCCTGAGTGACGTCATGGTAAACGTCTGTGAATTCACATAAGCCACCACACTGTGCGAGGTCAGAATGTGCAGCGGATGTCCCATCACTATGTGTGCTGTTTTCTGAATAATTTTGGCCACTCCCGCCACGTGCCTTGTGCAGGCGGGGTGTATTTTTTCTGTAGTATCGAGTTTTATGCTGACGTACATCAGCACTCTCCTCTCTCCCCCTTTTTTCTGA